TAAAAGGACCTTTCCATAGTTTTGCTAACTTTTTAGTATTTCCTTTTTTAACTATTGGTGTATATAATAATACTTTATCTCCCAATTTTATGTCACTAATTTGTGCTTTTTTATTTACTTGTTTTTCTCTACCTTCAGCGGCTTTAGTTAGATGTTTGTTAGCTAATTCAAACGCTACTTGCATGCGTTGTAATAATTCTGCTTTATAGTCATATGCTATGGCATGACTATTTCTTTTAGGAGCCAATATTTCTTGCATAGGTAAGATAACGTCCCTACCGTGCAATAGAAAGAAAGGACTTTCTTGAGTTGACTCGTTTTCAGCACTTCTGTAAGCTAACAATAATAAGTGGATCTGCTCATCCCAAGTTTTCTGATCCTTCTCACAGTATTGAGAGATCATATCTAACAAAGTTCTATTAAATCTTTCTAATAAACCATTAGCGGCTGGATGATAAGCTGTAGTTTCGATTTTATTAACACCTAGTAATTCACAGATTTCCTTCATTAACTTAGAAACGAAGTTACTACCTCTATCTGTTAATAAATATTGGGGTATACCGTGTCTAGCTACTATGTGATTCACGAAAGCTTTAGCTATCGTTTCAGCTTTCTGATCAGATAAGCATATTGCCTCAGGAAATCTCATTAGGTAGTCTGCGACTACTAACACGTATCTGTTTCCTGCATACGAAGTAGGCAGTGGGCCTAGTATATCCATAGCAACTAGTTGAAAAGGGGCAGTTAAGGTCTGCATTCTCTGTAAGGGAGCGCTTCTTAAATGCGAGCTCATCTTTCGTCTCTGGCATTCAAGACAAGAGCTGCAATACGCTTCAATATCTTTTTGCATGTTTAACCAAAAAACCTTCTGCTTATTCTACTATATGTCTTAGCGAAAGCTAAGTGTGCGGCGAAAGGTGTGTCATGGTAAGTTTTCATGACTTTGGTTTATAGTTTAGTTGGTACTACTATTTGTAAAGTTCTACCGTCCTTAACTTTTCTACATAGAATATCTGAATCTATCGTGTATTCTGTTTCGTTTCCTTGCGTTACCATACTACATAAGTTATTTATTTCGGGATCTTTCTTTTGTTCACTAATTATATGATCTATATCCCAAATTACTTCAGATTCATTTTCACGTTCAGCTTGTGCTTCGTTTATCTGATTGATCGTTTGTTTTTCGACAGTTTTGTTACTTTCTACTCTAATTCGGCTCAGAGCGTCTACATTAGAATGTTTTTTACCTGGTCTATGTATTATCTCAAAATCATAATCTTGTAATAATAAAGACCATCTAGCTAATCTAGACGAAGGGTCTTTTAATGTCATTAACCATTTTAGAGGTGCATGATCTGTAATAATGGTAAACTTTCGGCCATATAAATAACAACGAAAAAGTTTTAATTCCATGTACTACAGCCAAGCACTCTTGTTCTGTAACTGAGTAGTTTATTTCAGCTTTTCCTAACTGTCTACTCTGATAAGCTATAGGGTGTTCTTTACCGTTTTCGTGTAACTGAGATAATACTGCGCCTATAGCGAAACCGGAAGCATCTGTGCTTAATATAAATTCTTTCCTAAAGTCTGGGTAACTTAATATCGGTGCTTTTAATA